TTTGCCAGTCTATTTCTCTTGATTGGTGAGTTGAGGCCATTGACATTGCTAGTTATAACTGATGTGTACTGACTTATTATTGATATGTTATTGGCCTTTTGTTGACTCTTTTAACTTTTTCACCTTCTCCTTTTAATTTCTTGCCTTGCCTATTTGATTTGCTCTGTTGGGCCTCATGGTGTTGTTGCCTTCATTGTCTTTTTTAGGATCTTGTTTAGCATTGCTTGCAGTGCTGGTTTGGTATTCATGTAGTTTCTCAGGTGTTCTTTGTTGTGGAAGTGTCTTATTTCCCCCTCCATTTTGAAAGATATTGCTTGTAGTGCTGGTTTGGTATTCATGTAGTTTCTCAGGTGTTCTTTGTTGTGGAAGTGTCTTATTTCCCCCTCCATTTTGAAAGAGAGTTTTGCTGGATACATCAGTCTAGGTTGGAGGTTGTTCTCTTTTAGTACTTGAAATATCTCATTCCAGGCTCTCCTTGCCCCAAGGGTTTGTGTTGAAAAGTCTGCTGTGATTCTGATGGGCTTTCCTTTATATGTGATTTGTTTCTTTTCTCTTACTGCTTGTAGTATTTTGTTCTTCTGTTGGGTTTCTGGGATCTTGATTATTATATGTCTAGGTGTAGATTTTTTTTTATTATAGCTGGTTGGGGTCCTATATGCCTCAGTTATCAGAATGTCAAATTTTTCCCCTCTGTTTGGGAAGTTTTCTGTCATTAATTCTGCAAACAGCTTTTTTAAGTCATTTGTATTTTCTCCTGCTACTTCATGGATTCCTATCAGTCTTATGTTATTCTTCTTTGCATCATCTAGGAGTTGTTGGATTGATTTCTCATTATCCCTTACTGTTTTTAAGAGACCTCTCTTTTCATGTTCACTGACTGCAATCTTATCTTCTATATCTGAGAGTCTGTCTTCACATTCTTTTTTTCTGTTGCGTACACTTTTTATGGAGTGTTTACTCTCCTGGATATCTGATTAAATGTGTTTTATGGATTCAATTTCTTTCCTATGTTGGGCATTTATTGTTTCCATTTCTTTCTTATGCTGGGCCTTCATGGCTTCTATCATGGTCCTGAGCTCATCTATTTTTTTGTCAGTTTCTGCTCTAGAGTCTCGAATCACAACTTCCATTTTGCTCACTGTCTCTATGGTTATCTGGGAAATTATTTCTGTTTTGAATTTTTCTAGAGCCTGATTGATCGGTTTGGTTACTTCCTGTGATTTGAGTTCAGGGTGTCCTTGGTGGTTCACTATCGGCCTTTTCATCCTCATTTGCCCTACTGCTTGCCATTGGTGAACTGGTGTCTTGCTTAAGTGTTTTCTCATTTTAATTTTGGTTGTCAGACTGTCCTTGGTTTAATCTCTGGGCTATCACCCAAATCTTCCTGGTATAGTTGTGCCCTAGCTTCTGCGTCTCTAACAACCCACAGACATTCTCATCTTCATAACATCAGAGAAACAGCTCATCAAATCATCTGCAATGCTTTATCCCAGCTGATACAATCAGCATCACATTAAGATCAAGCACAACTTGGACACTGACCACCTGTGGTAGTCACTAGTCTATCCCCCTTAAATCATTTGAATTAAATTGAAATCAAGAAGCAGTCCAGAACATGTCTGCAGTGAACAGAATTTCAATATAGTGTGTTTACCATTTAATGGCTCAGACAGAGCGAGGATGCAAGTCCCCTGGTCTCAGTTACCTGATGGCTGAACCCCATGACGCTGACTGACCTCGGGCTGCAAGGCCCAGATTGAGTTCCCCAACCTTCTGAATGGTTGAACTCCACAACGTTCTATTACAGATTTCCCACGCCCTTTCTTTAAAGATGTTCAAAGTTGGGAACTCAGAAAAATACCCTTGATGACCACCTCTGCCTCTGCAGAGTGGGTCCAAAGACTGGCACAGGCAGGAGGTCTGAGAGTGCGGGGGGGGGCAACTTATGGGGGTTCAGGGGTGCCCTTCCCGGTGCTTGAGTGATGGCTGCTGGGTAGGGAGCAGGTGTGGCTCTCTTCCCCGTGGTGGATTGGGGCAGTATTTTACTTTTATAGAAGTTTTCTTAACTACTCAAATTTTTAAAGTGTTGCTTTCATTTGGCTGAGCTATTGGGAGCAATAGGATGGCTTGAAAAATTAGTATCACTTGTTAATTGAGATAATAGCATGTTTAAATTTAAGCAGTCTTTTGAATTTGAAAAAGATATGAAGAAAAAGTCAACTCAGTGTGAATTTCTTTCTCAAAAGTTACTTTGTATGTTAAATTTAATAGAAGAAATCTTTACCATCTTAGTAAAATATTTCTCCGTTAAGATGCCTTTCTTTAGCTGAATTAGTGTTAATGTTATTTTTCCATATTCTCTGAAACACTTACTTAAAAGCTAAAGAGTAATTTGAAAACTGTATAAATGAATTATTTATTCTACTGCTAATAATTAAAGGTATTTGTTTACTTAACATTTAAAAATCCATTTCTCTTTAAAATAAACTTTTTAAAAAGATAGGTAATTTTTGATTAAAAGTTTTTCTTCAAGCTATTTTATCAGTCTTTCAATGTTAATGAATATAGATGTTACCTAATGACATTTTTTGTTTTTGTTTTTGTTTTTAAGGTTATCAATCAAAATGGTACATGCTGAAGCCTTTTCTAGACCCTTAAGTCGGAACGAAGTTGTTGGTCTAATTTTCCGTTTGACAATATTTGGTGCAGTAACATACTTTACTATCAAATGGATGGTAGATGCAATTGATCCAACTAGAAAGCAGAAAATAGAAGCTCAGAAACAGGTATGATTTGAAATGTTTGAAGATCATTTGTCTTAACACTAGTGAATATTTTTCCCTAGATTAAGACTATTAGAATTAGAAATTAGCTCTGTAAAACCCACATGGAAATGCATTGGAACACATATTTAATTTCGTTAGCCCTAAAAAACATTAATTTATTAAGTCTGTTTTTAATATATCCTCAATTATCAGAAGAAGAAAAATGATGAATAAAAATATTTTGTTGTGAATGTCTTCATTGGGATATTTTTTCCACTTATAAATTAAGGAAACTAGGTAAAATTTTTCAGTAGACTAAGCAAAAAAATTTTTTTGATAATTATGCATACATTTTGCTTTGTATGATAGATGAAATTTAGGTAATGCTAAGTTGTCAGTCTTACACTTATACCACACTTAAATCTAAGGAATTGCTTTATAAAGTTATTGTTTATTAATATGTTATATTTTTTTTATTTTTCATCTGCTACCTGTTATGGTCATTTCTTTATTAGGATGATATATTTGTTTGGGTTCTTTTCATTCTCAAAAAATAAAAGCTTTAAAGGAGTCTTCTACTTTTGTCATTTTAAAACAAGATGTTCATATTCACGAATTTTTTTTATTTCTTCTGTGAGTTGTGACTGATTCATTCAATGAGCATTTATGCTTGATGCTAAGGAAAAAAATTAAATAACTCTTGTTTTTTCAGAATGCTATAGAAAAGTATGGGAAATGAGGTAAGTAAATGGCTTCTTTACAGTGTTATGCATAGCTCTTAAGATAGTAAAAAGTGAAAAAAATCACAGTTTGATAAGTAATTTGGACTTGATTTGATGAATTTATTCCTTGAATTTGATTATAAAATAGTTGACTAAAAGTTGATTATATAAATTTTTTTTTTTTTGGTACTGTAATTGAACTTGGGCCCTTGTGCTTGCAAGGCAGTGGTGGCAACACAGAGCTAAATCCCTGACCTAAAGTTGATTATATAATCAGCCTAGTAATAATATTGTGGGAATTCTGACCAGTGTAGGTATTTTAAAACAAACTCATTTGATGATGTATTTGACTATACCTTTTTTTCCCCACCTGAATGAAGAAAGTCAGTTTAAGTTGAAGTTCAGGATATTGATGTTAGCACAAATATGACTTTGTGGTTGTTGTTTTGGCTTTTTTTTTTTGAGACGAGGTGTCACTATGTAGCCCAGGCTGGCCTTAAACTCAATGTGTAGCCCAGGCTGGCCTAGAACTCTTAGCAGTACTCCTGCCTATTTCCTGAGTGCTGGGATTGCAGGTGTGTGCCATATGCCCAACCAGGGATATGATTTTATTTATTTATTTAAAATTTAAAAAAAAAAATTTTTTTGGTGTCAGGGATCGAACTTGGGACCTTGTGCTTGCAAGGCAGGTGGTGGAACCACTGAGCTAAATCCCCAATCTGGATATGATTTTTATTTATTTTATTTATTTATTTATTTATTTTGGTACCGGGGATGAACTTGGGTCCTTGCGCTTGCAAGGCAGGCAGCAGAGCCACTGAGCTAAATCCCTGGCCCCTGGATATGATTTTTAAACAAAGATTTTTATCATTTTTTTCTTGGCATCTGGGATTTCTTGGAATACATATATAGAAGACATATGGAAAGCCAAATATAGATATTAAATGCTACATGAATCATTAAGCTTTTATTGAAAACTAGGTATTATGGTATGGTTCCAAATAGCAGATGTGAAAAAGATGTGAAAATTGTCAGGTACTGTGTCTGGCCTCATGATGTCCATGGTAGGGGGAAAAGAGAAGACTTATGATTATGTAGATTACAGTAGTAATTAGCATATAGTAATTGCCTAATGAATAGTACAAACTGTGGCTTCTAGAGAAAGGAGTTGGCACCAGTGACTGAGACAGTTGAGTATGTCTTCATGAAGGAGTTTTGCTCAAGGATAGACAAGGACAATGGTAAGTAGAAAGAACGTAAACAGAATCATAGGGTAAGGATAAGACCTATTAAAAGAATAGTAAATAGTTTAGTCAGGTTAGAGAGGAGAGTTTATGTAATTAACTATGTAGTAGAACCTACAGGGAAAGATGAGGACTGTATGTTAAAGGGTCCTGAATAAGTCAGGGAACAGAGCTCTACTATTTGTTCAGTGTCTTTAGTTTTTTGATAGGTCCTGAGGCTAATACAAAATGCTACAGCAGTTTTGAAGTCCCACATCAACTGCAAAGGAGATATACTTTTTACTTGTAGTGTACTCCTGTTTTATAGTAACTTACCGGTGTTTAAAACATCCCGAATGAAAAATATTGTTATAGTATTTTACTTGGCCAAGGGCTATAGGTTCTCTTCATTCCCTTCTTTTCTTTCCTACGTTCCTGGCCAGCTACTGAATATGCTATAGACCAGTTAAAGAATGGCAGTGGTAACCCATTAAATATATTTGAGAAGATGGGTAATATGGAAAAAATGTTAAGATAATTTACCTTATAGTAAATTTAGGAGGAAATGGAGTCAAGAGACAAGAAGCAAGATATGTTGGTTACAGGGCTGGGGATTTAGCTCAGTGGTTCCAGTGCCTGCCTCGCAAGCACAAGGACCTGAGTTCGATCCCCAGTACCAAAAAAAAAAAAGAAAGAAAAATGTTAGTTACAGGTTACAAAGTTCTGGCAAGGACCTAGAGTAAGAAAATAATGAAAGGGATGGAATGGGGTAAAATTGACTCAAAAGAATGAGTGCAGTAATGCAGGATGATGTGGGAAAAGAAAAAGAATATTACACAAATGAATCATATTTGTCTAGAGTCCTCAGAGATTCATAACAGCTTTTATAATGATTTAGAAATTGCTAGGGCAAATTGATAGGATGATGACATTTAATATGTACATATTGAGTTTCTTTGTGATAGGAATTCAGGGAGAAGTATTCATACCACAATTGAAAATTTTAGGTCTGAATCTCATCAATAAAGTGAGTCCTAGAATTATTTTTTATCAGATATCCGTAACTAATTGGAATCCTTAGAGACATGATCCTCAACAGGGATAGGGTAGGTAAAATGGCTGTTCTTAGGTATGACTTGTAGAGCTTTTCTTAGACCACTCTCCCATCTTCCCCTGCTGCCATCCAGATTTTCACATTAGACACTTGGGAGAGATTCTGATATAATTGTCAGTTTAATAAATTCCAATGACTGGATTGACAGTGATGAGATCCCCACAGATGTTATAAAGCAATAAAATAACAAGCTGCAGAGTGTGGACACATTCTTACCATTTGGGGAATGGAAGGTGCTATGAAGCCAGTGAAGAATGAACAGGACAGTTTGGGTGACTTGTACGTGGACTGACTTTTCTGTTTAAAAAACAACTAAATAAGTTGGATGACTTTAAAGAAAAAAATGTAAAGGCATTCATGAACTATAAACAAAGTAAGAAGTTTCAGTGGAAAACTTCAGGCAACAGTTAAAAAAGGTAAGCTGACTTTATGACTAGCTTTCCACTGAGGGAATTTGCTGAACCTACTGAATTTTGAGTGGCTATTTTCATGGCCAAGAAGAGCTTAATATGCAAAGTGCAGAGCCAGTCCAATAAGGAGTCTCACAGATGATACCCCTATAAATCTAAAAGTACAAAAAGCTCCGTGGTATTTCAGCCAAAGACAAGGATGTAAAAATGACTTAAAGAGGTAAATTTAAGTCATATGCTAGGTGAAGGAACACGTTTGAAATGTAGACTCAGAAAAATGGAAAGAAAAAATAAGAAATGTTACATCTACTGTGAATTGACACTCATTTTCTCTAATATCTTTGTCTCATTTCTTTTTGTACAGTTAGCTTTCTTTTTACATTTGTTATGGCATACACATTTCATTGACCAAATGCAAGTTAAAAATAATTTTGAGATACCTTTTCATGCCTTAAAATGACAAAACTGCTAGTCTGTTAAGAGAGACTGGAACAGTAACATAAATACTGGTAAAATAGCTGGTAAAAATATAAATTATAAGCATTTTGGAAGAAAGTGACTATGGGAGTGGGAATAAAACCAAGATGATATACTTACTAGTTGCAGTCTTTTCCACTGACCATGCCTAAAGCACTGAAGACTATGATAGTGGTTTAATGTGGCAGTGATTCTCAACTGAGATTGCCTGTGTTCTGGGAAGATGCATGAGAATCTGAGGAAATTGGTGGGATGGAGAGTACAATTTTAGAGAGCTCTAGTGATTTTTTTGTGTATACTCCTTTTCATATTCCCTCCCATTATCCGGACAATCACTTATAAAAAGTCACCATAGCCAAAGGAAAAAATTACAAAAGAGATTTGGTTGTAAATGATGCATTAAAGAATGGTCAAGGTGAAAGGAGGTCAAGAATATGATCTAAGAAAAAAACAAGTAAATATAGTAAACTTCTTGAGGAGAGCAGTTTTCATTCAGTGGGGGCAACAAGTACAATTTGAGGTTAAAAAAAAAAAGCGTGGTCATTCCATAGTTTACGTTAAAAAAAAAGAAAAAAGAAAAAGAATAGCTAGGGTAGAAGGTAGAAGGGGCATGCCAGAAAGGGTACATAATGGATGAAGGTGAATCCCAGAAGTATCTGGGGAGTTGGTATGAGTAGTTACAGGAACACTTTAAGGTAAATTGTTTTTTTAGTAATGCAAAGGGAGGAGTGTGACTAGAGTGATTGCGGACCTGCTGAGGTAAATGTGTGATCAGTATTTAATGAGATAAAGTTATTGTTGACTACAGAACATTATGGCATAGTTGAAGAAAGTATAAATTTGTTTGGAACCCAGTTGTTTTTATTTTCAAACATTACTCAGCAACTTTGTATCACTGAATGATAGCGCTAATCTGGTAGTGGTGAGGAGCCTAACAAGTTTCTAAGCTTCTAAGAAGGGTATCTTCACAATAATAATGACCCCGTGGTCCAGGCCATGTAGGAAGTCAAGTATTGCCAGATGGGGGATGATTCAATCAGAGAATAGTTGGGAATTAAGGACTTAGAGTGCACTTTGATGGCGAGGATCAAGTGTGAATGTGAGAGGAAGAAGGCAGGACTTTGTAGTTGGAAAGGGAGAGCACTGAATTGAAAAGCTTAGATATGGAACACTGAGATTTCCCGTTAATCAGTAGACTTTATGTGATTTTAAAGGCAATACAGTTTGAAAATGAGGGCCGGGGATTTAGCTCAGTGTGCTGATGCCTGGGTTTGATCCAAGTACAAAGTCCTGAGTTCAATCCTTGGTACAAAAACAAAACAAAAACAAAAACAAAAAATAAACATGCAGATGGCATAATTGTGTTCAAATCAGGAACAGAAATTCAGAAGTAGTTTTATGTTGGATTAAACAGTATATTGTAAATAATTTTTAGCCCAAAGACAGGAAAAGCTCCAGTTTATGAGATATAGGATATTTAATCATTTCAGCAGAGTATTATGCAGGATCAGGGATTTCCTAGGCTTATGCTGCTGCTTGGATTTTGAAGCAGCCGTCTCAGAATGTCAGTTAGGAAAAACTAACATTTGTTAACCTAGAAAGTCATTGTGACCTGTTTTATCAATCAGGTGCCTTATTGAACTGAATCTTAGAGGAGTGAAAAGGTGAACTAAGTAAAAAATTGAGATAGGATGTCGGTAAGGAACAAACAGTATTGTCTGGGTGAGCAAGAAGATACAGTGATGGGAAAAGAAAAGCAGTAAAGGGAAATTAGAGGAGAGGAAGAGAATGCAATACTGAGCATACTAGGAGAGCCCCATCTTACCAATAACTTTTAGAATGATGGTAATATAAGAAGCATGGTAATGTCACAGGGAAGAGATGAAGTACACTAACCTTAAAAGAGAAAATTGCTGTCTCCACAAGTGTTTCAGAGTTTAATACAAATTTTCATAAGGATTATACCTGATGTGTAAAGATAGTTATTCAAATTCACTGCTAATTTCTTTTTTTATTTTTTGGGTTTTTGAGACAGGATCTCACCATGTAGTTGAGGCTGACCTGGAACTCACTCTATAGCACAGGCTGGTCTCAAACTCACAGCGATCCTCCTGCCTCAGCCTCCCAAGTGCTGGGATTACAGACGTGTGCCACCATGCCCGGCTAATTGCTAATTTCTATTTAAATACATTAAAAAATTTGCGTATCAGTGGTTTCCTCCACCTACACTTAATTTGGAACTATGAACAGTTAGTGTGACCTCTGTCAAAGGATCAGAAGTTGTCCTTGTTCCTCACTTATGTTTAATTGGTTCATCTCTCTTTTTTTTTTCATTTTTGTTAATGCCGTACGTATCTTTCCATAATTATTCTTTCAAAGGATAATTGATCTTATAATCTTACTTCATAATATTTCCTTTTCTGTTGCTCCCCACCCCCACACCTCTTGCCTACTCCAGCCAAAGATAACACTCACTATTTTTTTTTTTTTCTTTTTTTTGGTACCAGAGATTGAACTAGGGTCCTTGTGCTTGCAAGGCAGGCCACCGAACTGCTGAGCTAAATCCCTGGCCACCACTCACTCTTTACATCCTCCTTGACTTCTTAAAATGAAGTTGCATCAAAGGATAATGAAATAATTGAAAAGGTAAAAAATAAATCAGTGTTAAACAGTTAATAGACAGTTAAAAAGATTTCCCCTCCTTTTACCCCTCCCAGTCCATATTCTCAGTCCATTGTATTTTCTGCACAAAGAAAACAACTTGCAGAGACCACTTTAAGAACCAAGCAAACATTATTGACGAGAAAATAGAATGTCATTAAACTAAATGATAAAACAGTGTATAAAGATAAGCCATTTGTAAAGTAGTCTAGTCATATTTTTTTTTCCTAGTTAAAGCATTTTAGAATTAGAACTCACTTAAAGGTGTCAAACCAGACAGTTGGATAACTTGTTCCTGGGACATAGTTTGGAGGTAGTTATAAGGTGTTTTTTGGGTCTTTGTTTTTCATTTATTTGTTAACTATTTTCTGATCTATAAAATGAACAATGTTAGTGCTTCAGAAGGCCAGGACTTTCAAATTAGACGAATGAGTGAGATGAGATAGGAACACACTCAATGTTAATTCTTTTTACATTTTATGTTAGCATTATATTATGAACACAACCTGAATACACTGTTAAAATGGATGCTGTTGCAGAAAAGAGATTCTAGGTAAACTAAATAATACAGCATTTCCTGTTTCTATAAACAATATAATTGATTATTTAGGAAATTTCAGATATAAATAAAAACTCTTGTTTCAAGCTCTCGCTGTGAAACAGTATTTTCAAGGAAACTAGCTAATAAGGAAAAAAGCAGTGTTTCTCAGCTCAAGCACTGTTGCCTTTTTAACGTGATAGTTCCTTGGGATGTAAGGAGAAGGGCTGTCCTGTGTTCATGGAATGACTGACAGCATCCTTGTCTCAGCTGCCTAGATCCTTATAGCACTGTCTTTCCCCATCCCCAAGTATGGCAACCAGAATATTTCCAGATACTGCCAAATGTCCCTTGGGGGACAGGGGAAGAGGCAGAATGTCCCCAGTTGAAATCCACTATTTTAAGAGTATTGCTTAAAAAGAACACATACAGGATGCCTTCACATTTTAGTATCATAATAAAAAAATAATAAATTAATGTCTTTACCATGCCAAAAGAGGATACTTTTCATAGAAGACACATAAAACCCTATAGGCAGTGAGAAGGAAGGGTTTTTTTGGTACTGGGGATCGAATTTAAGACTGTACCTATGAGGCAGGCTGTGGAGCCAGTAAATTAAATCCCCAACCCGAAGGAAGGTATTTTTAAGAGAAAGGAGAACATGGAAACCTGAAAAGGGCTACTTTATATCTTGGTGATTTACAGAGATGGGTAAGTTAGGAAATACATCCTATATGACTATCTGATATGGTTCATAATACTTTATTTTAAAGCTGTTAATAGAATTTGATCACACAATTCTAATATCCTAGCCAATCTATAAATACACATTCTGTGGTATGAATTTCCTTCTAGAAGAACCATATCCTTAACAAACAGCAAGATCTTACATAATCAAGATGACTTTTAAAAATGTAATAATAAAAATAATTGAACTTTTTTGAATGTGTTACCAGACATAATCATAATTGAATGAATTACCAGAGTACTTTGATTTCTAAAATGTCCACTTATTTGAAATTTGAGTGTTATATTTTAGAAGACTCTTCAGTGGTCATAAAACCCCTTATATGCAGAAGCCAAGGCAGGTATATGTGGTGGTTAGAGTATCAGCTCTAGAGTTGGACTGTTTAGATTCAGATCTCACCTCTTCTGTTTGCTAACTTTTCATCTCAGCAAAATACTTAATCATGTTAAGCTTCAATTTCTTTTTCCACTATAAGGAGAATATTGTACCTTCATACATAGGACCATTCTGAGAGAATTCAATGAATTCATCTGTTTACTGTGTTTTGGCATAATCTTGACACATTCAGAAAATGTTTGTCATTTTGATTTTAACTGAAAGCTTTTTGAATTGCTTGAATTTATAGATTTAAAGCTAGTTATATCTATTTTAAGAATATATAGGTTATGACTATTTTTATTATTTTCAGTTGCTTATGACTGAAAAAGACAGCATTTTAAAAAAATTGAAATCAAGTAGGTGTAGACATCTATTTTAGATACCTGGATAATTTGAAAGAAGTTGAATATCTTTTTCAGATACCCTGTTAATTTAGGGAAAAAAACTCCTGTTGTACATTTCTTGACATCCTTGATTCCTTGGACTTTCATCTTGAGGTTTCACCTGTACCTATTGTGATAATCTTTCTGGAAAGAGAAACCAAACTGTACCTTAGCATCTCTCAGAGCTGCAGTGTTGGGAGGTACAGTACATGATGACACATCTCTATTAGAGATCCATGATTTCTCTAATCCTGTAATCTGTTGTCTCACTTCCCAGGAGCTGTTTAAATTGCCCTAGCTTCTGCAGGGTGGAGCCTCAAATTTTTTCTCTCCTGATGAGTTCATAATAGGGAAGGATAAGACCAACAGGCCTAAAATATCCTTGGAAAATTCTTTAATATCCATTGCTCATTAGACTTTATTTTTGAGGCACTAGTATTTAAATGTCAAAATAAAAGACAGTGTTTTTTTCTTTCTAGGCAGAAAAACTAATGAAGCAAATTGGTGTGAAAAACGTGAAGCTTTCAGAGTACGAAATGAGTATTGCTGCTCACCTAGTAGACCCTCTTAATATGCATGTATGTATCTTTAATTGTATGATCTTTTTGGTGTGTGGGGAAGGTCTACCATTTTGTGTCCAAGGTCTGGAAGGCCAGAGTAGTTTCAGCGATACTCTAGGAGATATAAAATTTAGCGTATATGTACATAGTTTATTACACTGAGTGGATATGAGGCAGAATCTGGAAAGGGAAAAGGGAATAGGTTTAAGTCTGGAGAATATCAGGCCAGTCCTGTAAGAGTTGTGCCTACACGTGATCACACTGGACATGCTTAATTACTGCATTACAATTTGTAACAACATGTGTGCAGTGTTGTCAACCAGGGAAGCTTTCTCAAGACTCTTCAGGGTTTTTATGTGGGACTGGTCATGTAAACTTCTTCCTTATGTATAGCAAAAGTCTAGATTCCCAGAAAAGAAGAGCAGTATTGACCATAAACCGTATTGTTTGTATAGTTTAGGCACAGTGAGCTGTTCTTGTCAGGGAGTGGTGAGAACTGTCCCAAATTCTAATGTCCTGAATCCCAGCCAAGGGCCAATTTAAAAGCAGACCTAAGAATAACAGTCCCAGGCCTGCTGTATTAACTCTTTTCTGGTAAAGCTTGGACTTTTAGATACTTGCCTTTGTGGAATATAAAACTTGTTTATGTCATGTGGGTATTTGATTTATAGAGTTTAGATTTTTGTGATATGTTAAGGTAGACAACACATATTCCTGAATCTCAAGTTTTCCACTTGTAGTGTTGGTAAATGATTTCTTCTTTAAGTCTTAGTTCCCTCAGGTATAATCCAAAGATAATATAATGAGTTTTTGAGAATTAGATATTTGGCGGTACTGTGTATTGAACCCAGGACCTTGCACTGAACTACACTCCCAGCCCTTTATAAATTTTGAGATGGCTTCACTAAGCTACCCAGGCTGTTCCTGAACTTGTGGTTCTACTGCTTCAGCCTCCTAGAGTGCTGGCATCACAGGCATATACCAACAGACCTGGTTGAGAACCAGATTAATTTGTAAATCCAAGGTATTCTACGAGTATTTTATGGCAACAGATATAGTAGAATTTACCTAATACGTTATATTGATGTGTAAATAAGTAGAATTAAATATATCCTTATCTTCAAATCTAAAAAATAAAAATCTGCCTTATCCTGTAATATCTGTATATACAGAGACACAGCCTGGAATTAAGCCCTTTTTTTTTTTCAGTTTGATTTATAAATTTACAGCGGCACCTTGTTGGGCCCTAACAGTATAAATCTGTACTAACACAACATTTTGTTACAGCTAAAGGAAATGTTATGATTTTTCTTCAGATCTGGCTAGTGGTTTATATTTTCCCTTTTTTTCCCACCATGAATTGTAAAGAAAGTAAATCTGCTCTAAAGTAGTAAGTACATCTTACTGGCCACTTTACTAGATTAGAGGGAGATTAATTTTTCTTTATTTTTTATTTTTTTGGTACCAGGGGTTGAACTCGGGCCCTTGCGCTTGTGAGGCAGGTGCCAGAACCACTGAGCTAAATTCCCAGCTAGATTAGAGAGATATTAATTTTTCTTTTTGTTTTATTCCCCCCTCCCCCATTTTTAAAAAGTTGATTCAGGGTTTCCTTGTCTGTGTCTGCATGCCTCTTACTAGAATTGAAATTGAACCCAGTCCTTTTTTTTTTTTTTTTTTTTTTTTTTTTTTTTTGTATATAGGGTCTTGCTAAGTTGCTTAGGTTGGCCATCAACTTGCCTTAGCTTCCTAAGTAGCTGGGATGTGTGTGCTAGCATGCCTGGCCTTTGTCTTTTTTGAAAATATATATACCCTACTTACTACTTAAGAAGATACTCCATAAGTTTTGACAGTTTTATTTTACTTTATTTGTTTAATTTTTTTTTTGTACTGGGGATTGAACTCGGGACCTTGTGCTTGTGAAGCAAGCGTTGGCACCACTGAGCTAAATCCCCAGCCAGGCAGTTTTATTTTAGGTGAGTAAAAGTGAGAAGTCCAGGGCTGGGGATTTAGCTCAGTGGTGCCACTGTCTTCCTCACAAGCGCAAGGTCCCAAGTTCAATCCCCAGTACCAAAAAAAAAAAAAAAAAAAAAAAGTCAGAAGTCCAGTTTGATGGATATAAACCTTACTTCTAATCTTCCTCTTGTATTTGAATGCACCCTGTATGATCTAGGCAGTCTTCCTGGTGAGCTCTTCACCATCAGTCAGTGCTAAATTACAGTGGTATTTGGTTCTCAAACTTAATCTTTGCATGATTGTGCTTGCAAACTGAGTTGGACAAGAACCAAATTCACTGGTCATTTTCAGTGCTAAGCTTATAGGGAAATTTGATTCACTTCTCATCCAGTTTGGTTTGCGACCAAAATTATGGCGAGAGTAGAGTTCATGAATTGAAGTACCACAGTATTTGTTTGCGCTGGTTCTCATTTTTCTTATGGTAGAATATTTCCTCATTAATGGAGTGAATTCACCCTATTAGATTCTTTCAGATTTTTGAGTAGCTGACACCTCCCCACTGCCCCACTCCTTCCCAGTAATGCTGGGGATGGAACACAGGGCCTCACATGTACCAGGAAGTGCTCCACCAGTGAGGTACACCTCTAGCTATAGTACTTTTTTTTTTTTTTTTTAAGACAGGGTCTCAGTGTGTAATTGAGACTGACCTGGAACTCACTGTGTAGTCCAGGCTGGTCTTGAACTCACAATGATCCTCCTGCCTCAGCCTTCCGAGTGCTGGAATTACAGGTGTGCACCACCATTCCTGGCCTAGTACTTTTCTTTTTTTTAATAGGAAATTAACTGTTAAATTCCTTTTTCTGGTGTCATAGAATTTATTAATTTTATTATTGCTGTTAACAAATTGTTATGTATTATGTTAACATACAGTTTTAAATTTTTATCTTTTATGTGTAATTATCAGATTATATAATGATTTGCCATTTGGGGTGAGAATACCTTACTTACAAAATTTATATTGTCCTTAACTTTTTCCAGGTTACTTGGAGTGATATAGCAGGTTTAGATGATGTTATTACAGACCTGAAAGATACAGTCATCTTACCTATCAAAAAGAAGCATTTGTTTGAGAATTCTAGGCTTCTGCAGCCTCCCAAAGGTATGGTAAAAATAAATATATTTGCCTAAAACATTAAAAGTCTTGTAAACATGGAAACTTTCAGCCATTGTATAATTTTTTTGGTGAAATTAGATTTTAAGAGAATTCTGAGAGTGAATTATTTTATAAATACTAGTTTTAAAATAATTGTTCATCGTTCTTCTGAAATTTACATTCTTTTCCTGCAGTTACATGTCAAACTAATCTCTATTTAAAACTCATTTTTATTAATTTTGAGTAAATTAAAATTTAGGAAATAAAGATTTTAAAAAATCCAAAATCACAATATATTTTTCCCCTAAGCCATCTTTTCATTGTTTCTCAACTCTAATGTGTTTTTTTTCTCCTAGTGATCTATTTTTAGATTGTAGTAATTTTGTGGATGACGAGTTTTGAGATGGTCTCACTATGTAGCTAAGGTGGGCATTGAACTCTTGACCCTTCTTCCTTAGTCTGCCTAGTTATGGGATTACAGGTGTGCACTATCATGCCCATCTTGCAGTGAATCTTTAATAGGAAAAATTGAACTGCAGATGAACTGGAAGTTATCACACGCTCCTTTTTCTGGTAGTGGTTCTGGGGTTTAAATCTAGAGTCTTTGCACTGAGCTACCTTCCTAGCCCTCTTTATTTTTTATTTTGAGAGAGGGTCTCTGCCAAGTTGATAAATTGTCCAGACAAGGTTTGAATTTGTAATCCTTTTGCTTTAGCCTCCCAGAATGCTGGGATTACAGGCATATGTGCTACCAACCCTGGCTAAGTGCTACTATTTGTGGGAAACTTCCTTATTCATAATTAGTTACACTTTGAAAACCTTGAAACTGTAGAGTTGAGATATTTATAACTATATCTCTAAATATAATCCTTTTATTCTTGTTTATGCAAACATTAATCATTCTTAAAGCTTGTTAGAGGCAATTATAGTACATACATGATAATTTACAGAGAGAAAACTTTTAAATTTGATATAAATATATATTTCCTATATAAGAGTGTGTGTGTGTGTGTGTGTGTGTGTGTGTATATATATATATATATATATATTGCAGTGTGCATTCCACATTAAATTGTCAGTTTACAGTGATGAAATATAATTTTAAGCACCTGCAGTCAACCATATTTCCAGCTTTAAATGAAATGACATTAAATTTTGTGGGGTTTTTGTTTTTTTGTTTTTTTTTGGTACCGGGGATTGAACTCGGGACCTTGTGTTTTTGAGGTAGGCGGTGGCACGACTGAGCTAAATCCCAGCCCCTAAATGAAATGACATTAGATTATTATTCTTTATTGTTTTACATGTTCAACCAAAGAAAGTGTTACTAGAAGGTCCAGATTATAACTGATTTAAGTAAATTTTAAGCAGTTAAATGGACTTAATTAAAAATCGAAGATCACTTGAAGATATTAACATGTACTGCCAAAGCTTATGGCTTAAAATTTAAAATCAGCCTGAGAGCTAGGTATGGTGGTCATGCATGTAATTCTAGCAATCTAGGAGGCTGAGGCAAGAGGCTAAAAAGTACTGAACAGAGGATCAGAATTAGAAAAGTTTAGTTTAAAATTCAGTTAGATGATGTAACTTGAATCTTACAGAATTAACACTAGTAGGAAAGTCTATGTACACTTGAGTACAAGTTTGAACATTTTTTGAAATGCTTGATATGAAAAAAATTGGTAAGTTTATAGACAAACGAGTTCAAGTGTTTTATTTTAAAAATACTGAATTTTATTTTGGAACATTTATGCAAAATATTTTTCTCACTTTGAAATTTTTTAATATATAGTATTAGGAACATTTCAGACACCCCAATAACCCCAGCATACCATCTGTATATACTGCTTTCTTTAAGAACTGTTTCATGTGAAAAGTTGAGATTGGAATTAAGCAAGTATTTTAAGAAATCTACAAATTGGGCATGGTGGCACCCAGGTATATAATCCCAGCATTCTGGGAGCCTCAGGCAAGGGAATCACAAGTTTGAGCCTAGTCTGAACAATTTCACAAGTTAGTGAGACCTTGTCTTAAAGTAAAAAAGGACTGGGGATGTAGCTCAGTATGAAGGCTGTTAGTTCACTCTCTAGTACTGCCCCCCAAAAAAGAAAAAATGAAAAGTTTGCAGATTGTAATTTTCATCAGAACTATGTAGATTGTAGACAAGATCATAATTTTAGAATTATATTTCTTCAGAAAATATACCTCATTTCAGCTTGAGAAACAGTAGTAATTTTGAAAATGTTTAAGACCCCAAGCTGTTTAGATCTCTTATGTGTTGGATGCATTACCTTAAGTTGTATTTAGCAGCAAATTGCTGTCAGTGGTGAAAACAGGTTAATAGCACAAGTTAATTTGGAAATTAAAACAAGAGTGACTAGTAATTTCTATCTAAATTCCTCTTAAGAAAAGATTGTTATCAATTTAGAAAAAGATACACGTCCTTTTGCCTAAAACAACAGCCAAATGGTATTTACCACTGTCTGTTTTGAAGTTATTTATTACCTTTAAGGTGTTGTCGAGGTGCCATAGTGCTCTCTTAGCTTGTGAAGGTGGAAGGCGTCAGATGACTTTTATTGTCAGTGATTGACAGAGTGGTATGAACTTGGATAATAGTGTTTAGTATCTTGAACTGGACCTTTTCATGAACAGAGAAGGTGCAAGATGCTTTAATCTCCAAATACATGTCGTTAATGACAGTCAGTTTAGAACATGGTGACTTTCTTGCTACTACCATTTCTACTATAAATAGATTAAAAATAATTAAATATCAGGCATGTTATAGTGTGGGCAGAACTAATATTATTTTTTATATAAACATCTCATTTTCTTAAAGGTAATAATAATTTAAGAACTAATTTTTTTTATATAAACATCTCATTTTCTTAAAGGTAATAATAATTTAACATTTATTTCTAGGTGTTCTTCTATATGGGCCTCCAGGCTGTGGTAAAACATTGATTGCTAAGGCTACAGCCAAAGAAGCTGGCTGTCGATTTATTAACCTTCAGCCTTCAACACTGACTGATAAGTGGTATGGAGAATCTCAGAAATTGGCTGCTGCTGTTTTCTCCCTTGCCATAAAGTTACAGCCTTCCATCATCTTTATAGATGAAATAGGTATGCTTTCCACGTGAGCACTTTATTTTTTTTTAAATTCATTCATTTCTTTTTTTTTTTTTTCATTATGTTTATTGGTACAACTTCCTGCCTTACAAGTGCAAGGTCCTGAGTTCGATCCCCTGTATAAAAAAATATTTTGGGGCATACAGTACAGTTAGATTCAGCATGATGTAAAGGTTCTTATTTTTTCCTCATTCCCTTGCCCTCCCTTCAACCCCTCCACCCTACCTATTTACAAAGACTTTGTTTCCATTTTTTTCTTTTTCTCATGTTTTTTCCTTTCCCTTCTTTCTTTTCCCCTACCCCTGCCACTTCCCCTACCCCTTTAGATCTTTTCTTCCTATTTTACATTGTCGGTTACACATTTTGATCCTTATTTACACTTTTAGTTTTTCACACCAGAGAACTATTCAGGATTTACACATGTGTGTCCTATTTAAGAATATGGCCTCAATGTGCATCCCTTTAGCTCTAAATGTCTCTAGTTTCTCATTTTTATGGCTGAGTAGTACTCTATTGAAACAGAAATCAGAAAAACCCACGTTTTTTTCCAGTCTCCAGTTGATGGGCAGTTGGGTTCTTTCCAAGCTTTAACTGTTATTATGCTGCTCTCCTATAAACATAGTGCTCGTATATTGCTGTGATATGATTCTTTTAATTCTTTTGGGAAGATACACACAGAAGAATAGCTGGGTCAGATGGTACCCTCTGATCCTAATTGTTTGAGGTATCTCCATACTGATTTCCACAGTGGTTGCACCATTCTACACTCCCAGCAGCAATGGAGAAGGGTTCCTTTCTTCCCACAGCCCATCAGCATTTGTTATTGGTTGATTTCTTGATAGCAGCCATTCTTTCTCAGGTGAGGTGGAATCTCAGTGTTGATTTCATCTGAATCTCTCAAATAACCAGTGATGTTGATCATTTTTTCATATGTTTATTTTCTGCTTTTACTTCTTTGAGAAATATTTCAGATGCCCGTTTTTTAATTAGGTCCTTATATTTGGGAGGTTTGATTTTTTAAAGTCTTTATATATTCTAGGTAATAGTCCTTTGTCTGAGGAACAGCTGAAAAAAATTTTTTCTCACATTGTAGATTGTCTTTTAGCTCCCTTGGTGTTTTCTCTTGCAGTGCAGAAGCTTTTTAATAAGATGAGATCCCAGTTGTTGATTCTTTGTACTAGTTCCTGTGCTACTGAGGTTTTGTTCATAGTCTTTTCCTATGCCAGGGTCTTCAAGAGTTCTACCTAACTTATCTTCCAGCAAGTTCAGTGTTTCTGTTTTAATATTTAGATCTTTAATCCACTTGGATTTTAGTTTAATGCATGATGAAAGATAGGGGTCTAGTTTTAATCTTAGGCATTAAAATCCAGATTTTTCCGACACCATTTTTTAAAGAGGCTATCTTTCCTTTAGTGAGGATGGTTGGCTCCTTTGTCAAAGAGGTAGCTGAGTATGTCTGGTGTTTCTGCATCTTTTAATCTATTCCATTGATCCTTGGGTCTGTTTCTTTGCCAGTACCATGCTGTTTTTTTCACATGACTTTGTAGTATAGTTTCAAGTTTGGAATTGTGATACCCCCTGTCATGTCTCTGTTGCCTAGAATTGCTTTTGCTATTCTAGGTCTCTTCTGGTTCCAAATGAATTTTTGGATTGTTTTCTTAAGATCTGTGAAATATACTGTTGGGATTTCAATCAGGACTGCCTTGAATCTATATAGCACTTTTAGAAGCATGACCATTTTCACTATATTTGTTCTTCCTACTCAGGACCATATGACATTTTAAAGAGCCTTTTTAAAGGTGATATTTAGATAACCAGATTTAGGTCCTACTAATAAAAGGTGTAACCAGCATCTTAGTATGTTATGTATAATTTCCGTGTTGTAGAATAAATCATCGCCTTGTTCATTCTCTTACTTGATAGACTTTTCTTTTTTCTCTTATAAACAGTATGAGTGGGGCATACATTACATGCATATTTTCTCTCTAGAAGTTGAATTTTTTTTTTTTTTTGAGATAGGGTCTCACTATGTATTTGAGGCTGACCTGGAATTCACTATGTAGCTGATCTCAAACTCACAGTGATCCTCTTGCCTCAGGCTCCCACATGCTGGGATTACAGGTGTGCACCACCAGGCCCAGCTTAGAAGTTCAATATTATCAACTTCCCTTGGATTACCAGTTATCTATATACTCCCACTAGTGTGTAGTTCATTGCCCTACATACTTTGAGATTTATTTTTTCATACATTATCATTAATTTTTATCAATTTAAAAAGTGAATTATTTCACTGTTTTAATTTATATTTTCCTGCTTACAAGTTAGTTTGGCTCTCTTAATATATTGATCAGCTATTTGTGCTTCCTTGCTTATAATTTGCCCATTTTCCTTTGGGTCATTTGTAGTTTCTTAATAATTATTTTTTGATGTTTATTATTGTTACATATATTTTCCAGATTGGCTTATCTTTTTGTTTATGATAGCACATTTTACAGTAATTTAAATTGGAATATAATTACTTTTATCAACATTTTTCCTGTACAATGTATACTTTTTATACTGGGATTACAAATTCCTTCACTATCCCCATAAATATTTTCTTTTAAAAACTTATAGGGCTGGGCATTTAGCTCAGTGGTTCCATTGCCTGCTTCGCAAGCACAAGGATCCAGGTTCTATCCATGGTACAAAAAAAAAAACCCTTTAGGTCTTCTTTCTTGTCACAACTTTTATATTAGTTATCTATATTTTGTGGAGTATTGATATTTTTGTTATATTCCTAGTACAATAAATTATATGTGTGTGTGTATATAGTGTGTGTGTGTGTGTGTGTGTATGTATCTTACTGTGGCTTTCAATTATGTATTCTTATATATAATATGATAGCATATATAAAAATAAAGATAGATGTGTAATATATAGATTTGGTTACTTGCCTTTGTTTCTTATCAGTTCTTTCAACTATTTTTGGTGCACATCTTGAAGAAAAGAACATATAGCTGTATTTTTTAAAAATCTAATTTATCTGTAACTGGGATGTATACTTAAATTTCCCTGTATTATGAGAGCTGATATATCCAGAATTTTGTGCTTTTTATTTATCATTGGATTTTTAAATTTCCTTTTCCCCCAATATGCGTGTAGAAGTTACATACTCCTTTTCTTCTTCTGAAACATTTGGCACACCTACTTTTCTTAAAATTGTAATGCTAGATAACATCTCTGCCCTTCTCCCAAATAATACAGGAACCTCAAAATTCTTACATACTAATAATTCCAGTAGTTTATTTTCTTAAATCCTTCCTTATTAATTGTCATTTTACCCTGGCATGCATTGTTTAGATAACTACATTAGCCTGTTCTGAATTTAATTTTCATTTTACTGAAGTCTTAAAGTTCTTTCAGAAAAGGTTGTAAAAGGTAAGTTCTTTCTGTTATCTTATCTCTTAAATGATTATTTTTCCTCAGAATTATTTTTCCTCAGAATTTTTAAGCTACAATTCAGTTGTCTTCCAATCTTTTAAAAAAGATTCTGCTTATTGCTTAATATTTCTAAGCAGTCATTGTATCTTTTCTCCATAGTTGCTATTAGATTTTTATGTCATTCTGCTATTTGACTATGATTTTTCCAAGTCTGCATTTGTGTTTGTCCTTCTGTCTTGTGATACTTTATAGACTGAGAATTTGTGGCTTTCAGTTCTCTAATTCTGGAAAATTTTCTTAAATTTCTTTGTTACAATTCTTCCATTAAATTTTTTTTATCTTTTTATTTAATTTTAAATCATTTCCACAGTTTTTGCATCTAGTTCTATCTCATATTTTGTCATTTCTCAAATGTCTGTTTTGTTTTTTATATTTTGACATCTCTAAGAATAGAATAGCATGTTATTATTTAATTGCTGTATTTTTTTAACATTATAATTGATGGCATTTTAAATTTATTGTTGGTATATATACAACTAGAAAAATCACCCAGATGTTGAGTAAGTTATAAAAAACAATTCTTTGTTTGGGTGTATTTAATATCTCAACCATTATATTTTTCATTCTTTTGATTATATTTGAACTTTAGAGTTCTAGTTACTTCTTTTTAAAATTTACCCTTTTCTCACTGTAGTTTTTGCTCTTTTGTTAGAATTCTAATCTTTTATATCTTTAGAATTTTAAACATTAATTCTAATTCTCCTTTATGTTTTTGACTCTCTTGTAGTGATTTGTGTGTGCTTACTTCAGCAGTACATACACTAAAGTCATTGTGATTTCTTTCCCTCATGTCATTTATAACATTGGATCGTTTTTCTGTTTGTTTTTATTTTTTTGTCTTTTTTGATTTTTTGAGCCAGGGTCTCACTGTGTAGGTCAAGCTTGTGTAGAATTCACTATGTAGCCCAAGCAGCCCTCTAATTTGTTGTGGTCCTCCTGACAGCCTTCCAAGTGCTGGAGTTATAGGCATGTGCCGCCATGTAGGGCTAACACTAGGTGGTTTCAGGCTTAGTTTTTCTCTGAGAATTCTGTTACCTGAAAAGATCCAAAGTGTTTTTCCTGTCTTCTGCTTCAGGGGCCTGATTGCACACACAGTAGCGATTTTTATGGTATTTTCAGTTTAAATGCTCCTAGACTGAATGGTAGTACAAATTTAGACTTTGTCTTAGTTACTTTTCTTATTGCTAAGACAAAATACACATACACCCAAAGTAAAAGAGGAAAGTTTTATTATAGCTCAGTTTGTAGATGTTTCAATTCATAGTTGGCTGGCTCCAAGGCAGGGTAGCCTGGTAGTGGAACATTGCAGAGGAGAAGCAGTCCATGGCAAAGCAGGGCAGGCACAAGATAGCAAGCAGCAAGCAACAAGCAGCAACACCAGCAGCCCTTTTCCTGTCCTTTGTATTCTATCCAAGCCACATGCCCTCTGGGCAGGTAGCACTCTCACCCAGGGTGCTGTACCCTTAATCCTAGCATCACACCATGAATCAGTCCCAGCATCACATCCTTAATTGTAGCATCACACACACTAGATCTAGCCACCTTCAAAAAGCCCCATCTATGACCGCATGAAGCTTTAGATACAAGCCATAACAGGCTTCATACCTGTGAAGAGACACCCTACTCCTACATGGTCCTCATTTTTTTGGTACTGGGGATTGAACTCCAGGACCCGGTGCTTGCAAAGCAGGCGATGGACCCACTGAGCTAAATCCCTGGCCCTGGTCCTCTTTTTTTTTATTTGTCAAGGGAGAAATATTTTCTCTCAGAATCTAGACAAAGATAAACTTTCTTATAACATACTCATTCTTGTCTGCACTTTCGTAAGTGTTCTAAGCATCTTGGCTTCGGTCTATGCATGGATAGTAACAATAAGGCAGAACCTATCAGTGCCTTACATGCATACTTGTATATTCAAACAGACAGTGGTATGAGCTCCTCAAGGTCTTCCTTACCCTTATTTTCAGTTCTTTTCCCCCCAATGTCCAGGATTTCTTTTCCTTTACTTCTTGCAGTGTCAGATCTTTATTAAGCAGTTTTTGAAAGTAACATATTTTTAGAACAATTTTCACTTTATAGAAATTTGTAGAACTGCTCAGAAAATAGAGTTCCCATATATACAGTTTCCTCTTTTACTTTGCATTGGTGTGAATCATTTGTTGCAATTAATGAACCGTCACTGTAATTATTTAGTCCATTCTTTACCTTATAGCTCATTCTTTCTGCAGTTCAGTGAGATTTGACAAATACTCAATGTCCGCTGTGCCCCATTACAGTATCATACAAAATAGTTTAACTGCCTTATCCTTTGTGCTTCACCTGTTCATCCCATCTCTCCAAACTCCTGGCAGCTGCTGGCCATTTGACTATCTTTATTGTTTTGCCTTTTCCAGAATGTTATGGTGTTGAAATCATACAATCTCTAGTTTTTTGTTTTTTGTTTCTTTCCTCGCTGTGTAGTTCAGGCTGGTCTCATACTCATGGCAATCCTCCTGCCTCACCCTTTGGGGTGCTGGGACTATTAGGTGTATGGCACCACACCTGGCTAATCCATAGCTTTTTCAGACTAGGCTTTTCACTTAGTAGTATCATTTAAGGCTCTCCGTATCTTTTCATGACTTGACTACTTATATCCTTTTATTGCTGAATAATAATACGCAATTTTAGGGAGATATATATATATATATATATATATATATATACACACACACACACATATGCATATATATTCCTTTATTCATATATTGAAGGGTATCTTGTTTTAGGCAATTATGAGTGAAGTTGCTAATAACATTCATGTTTAGAATTTTGCATAAGTGTTAGTGTGCAACTCAACTGACTACCTAAGAGTATAGCTGCTAGGTTATATAAAGCTGTGCTTAGCTTGAGTTGTAATCCATCAGTGGGACATATTGAATAAAATTGGAGCTATAGAGGAATATCCACAGTATATATTTGCTGTTGCAGGACTATCATGTTTTGGTATTGTGCTTTTGCTGGAATTACTTTTTTTTTGGTACCAGGGATTGAACTTGCGTCCTTGTGCTTGCAAGGCAGGTGGTGGAACCACTGAACTAAATCCTTGGCCCCTGGAATTATTTTTTGAAAAATGTTTTTTGAGTTTTGAACCTAACACATTGTAAAACATTTTTATGCCACTTAGGTATATACTGTAATTGGCAAACTTTGAGTTGTAGTTTTAATGTTGAAATATGACAGTTACTTAGAAATATTAGTGATTTATAGGTATAAACAAACCATTTAAAATGAGGATTATAAGGGCCAGGGATTTAGCTCAGCCATTCGGTGGCCTGCCTCGCAAGCACAAGGACCTGAGTTCGATCCCCGGCACCAAAAAATAAATTAAATAAATAAATAGACAAATAAATAAATAAATAAAATGAGGATTATATTAGAAAATACAAGCTTTATTTTTACTGTCTTTATTCTTCATTCTTAAGATCTTAACACCTTTCAGTCTTTTCATGTTCTAAAAGGGGAATACCTTTTTTCCCTTTAAAAAAGCTTGTTGTATTCACTGTAGCTAATTTGGAAGACAGAAAATAGTATCAAAGAGATGTTAAAATTGTCCCTTGGTGCAATCCTGAGAGAGGACCAAAGTTTTCCTAGCATTTTGGTGTTATTTCACTAAAGGCTTATTTTCTTTCTCATGTATAACATATATACATGCAGACTAATGCATGTTTTATTTTGTTGTTGTTATTTTTGTGATAACAATACTGGAGACTGAACCCAGGGAGTGCTGAGCTATATCCCCAGCCCTTTTTGTTTTATTTTTATATATATATTTTTCTCTTAAATTCTTTCATCGGTACATTTTAGGTATACAGTACATTTACATTCATCGTTGGGAACTTGTACCTTTACAGGATGTATATTGGTTCTTATTTCTTCCCCATTCCCGACCTCGCTTCAACCCCTCCATCCCTCCCGATTTGCAAAGACTTTGCTTCCATTTTTTTCTTTTCTCATATTTTTTCCTTTCCCTTCTTTCCCCTACCCCTTTTCATCTTATTTTGAGACAGTTTTTATTCAGGCTGGCCTCAAACTTATGTCCCCCCTGCCTCTGTCTTCCATGTAGTTGTGATTATAGGCATGTACCACTATGTCCAGCTAGCACATGTGTTTTTTTCCTCTACATTTTCCTATTTAATAGTATTTTGGACAGTTTTCCATATCATTATTGTTTATTACCAGGAAAATTTATGAGGAAAAAGAATATGAATCCATAATTAAGAACATAGGATTCAGGTAAACTGGAAAGGCAGGGGCAAAGCACACAGGCTTTTCTCCAAGATGGCTATCTTACTCTCTTCCATCCTCTTAGTGCCAGATCCTTTATTTTTCTATATTAACATGAATTTGCTTTTAGGAAAGAAATGAAAATCATGTTTTAACTTGCTCAGTAACTTGATTGTTTTAATTTGCTCAATAACTTAATAGGATTATAATGTCTAAAGGTGTAGTTAACCCCTTATTTCCTTGTAATCCTTTGTCAAGTTGTAAGCTTTTAATTAAATGATTTAGTTATATACAGAATAAATAATTTATTAATTTTTAAAGTTAAGGACCTTTTTCCTTTTAGACTCCTTTCTACGAAACCGTTCAAGCTCTGACCATGAAGCTACAGCCATGATGAAAGCGCAATTTATGAGTCTCTGGGATGGATTGGATACTGATCACAGTTGCCAGGTATTTCAACAGAACTTTTGTTGCCCCAAATTTGTGTTGTTTTTATTAGCAGAAAATTTAAGGACCAGGGGTTTACCTCAGTATTCTGCCGCCTGCCTCACAAGCGTGAGGTCCTGAGTTTGATCCCCAGTACAAAAA